TATTGGTATCGGTATCGGTGTCGGTATCGATATCGATATCAGTATGAGTATGGGTATCCGTATTGGTATCAATATCAGTCAGAGTATCAGTATCAATATCGGTATCGGTACCGGTAGCGGTATCGGTATCGACATCGGTATCTATATGAGTATGAGTATCACTATTGCTATCAGTATCGGTATCAGTTTTGTATCAATATCAATATCATTATTAGTATATGTATCATTAGCAGTATTAGTATCAGTATCAGTATCATTATCAATATTAACATCAATATCAGTATAAGTATCAGTATCAATATCAATATCAATATCAGTATCAGTATCAATATCATTATCAATATCAATATATGTATCAGTATCAATATCAATATATGTATCAGTATCAATATCAATATCAATATCAATATATGTATTAGTATTAGTATTTGTATTAACCATTACTATTAATGTTAGTATTAGTATTATTATTAGTATTAGTATTAGTATTTATATTAGTATTAATATTTGTATTAGATTTAGTATTAATATCAGTATTAAATTAATATTAGTATTGTACGTAACATTGTCTAGAGTTAAGAGTATATTATAAATAACGATTTTCATCAATTAAGAATCCGGTGATTGTCCTATGCTACTTGCAATATCGTATACAAAGAAGTAACTCTAGAGTTGTATTTCAGGGAATATGAAGATACACTTTAACAAACATCATTTATATATTATATATGCGCATGTTTTTCGTTGACTCATACGTGTACATTTAATATGCGTTCAGATTTATTTTTAGTAAATAATATTTTTCGGCGATATTCAATTATATTAATATTAATATTAGTATGAATATCATTATCATTGTTCATATTCGTATTACTATTCATATCAGTATCAATATCAATATTAATAGTATCAGTATCAGTATGAGTATTAGTATTGGTATTGGTATTGGTATTGGTATTGATACCGGTACTGTTATTGGTATTAATATTGGTATTAGTATTAGTATTGTATCAGTATTTGTATCGGTATTATCAGTATGGGTATGGGTATCGGAATCGGTATCAATATCGGTATCGATATCGGTATGCGTATCGGTATCGGTATCTGTATCGGTATCAGTATCAGTATCAATCTCGATATCGGTACCGGTAGCGATATCGGTATCGACATCGGTATCGATATGAGTATGAGTATCACTATTGCTATCGTTATATGTATCAGTTTAGTATCAATATCAATATCATTATTAATATATGTATCATAATTAGTATTAATATAAGTATCAGTATCAATATCAGTATTAATATCAGTATCAGTATCAATATAAGTATCACTATCAGTATCAGTATCAGTATCAGTATCAGTATCAGTATTAACATAAATATCAATATATCTTAGTATTAGTATTTGTATTAATCATTATTAGTAATGTTAATATTATTATTAGTATTTGTACTAACCATTACTATTAGTATTAGATTTAATATTAGTATCAATATTAAATTAATATTATTATTGTACTTAACATTGTCTAGAGTTAAAAGTATATTTTAAATAATGATTTTCATCAATTAAAAATCCGGTGCATTGTTTTACGCTACTTGCAATATTGTGTACTAAGAAGTATTTCAAGTGTTGTATTTCAAGGAATATGAAGATACACTTTAAGAAACATCATTTATATATTATATGCATACACATATTTTTCGTTGACTCATACGTGTATATTCAATGTGCGTTCAGATTTATTTTCAGTGAATAGTATTTTTTAATGGGATATTCGATTATTCCCTTTTTTTAATGGGATATATATATATTCTTTATCTATGTAATGTCTTTGACTTATATATTGAAAATGATGAAAAATAACAGGTTATTCGTCATCTGGTCGTAGATCTAATTGTAGTTTTGTGGTCTTCTTTAACAACATTCACATTAATGTGCAAGACTGGTGCATTACTTTAATTTCGGTCTTGGAGTTACTTGCTACATTTCAACGTGTATGGTGCTTAGAACATTGTCCGTTTATTTTTTATAGAGACTTTTAATTGATAAATTAAGATACGAATTTGTCATTTATTGTTCAATTGTATTCTTTACATTCTCGACATATTTTTTATTCGTTGGTTTTCTACATTAACTCATTTTATGTTTTTGAATTAATCCCCGTGCATCGCACGGGTGAGTGACTAGTTATTATTATTACATAATTAACTAAATTAATTATTTAATTAGCGATAATGCCTGCATTAACGTGTACTGAATTCATGGTACACATGTTTATTCAATTTTGTCAATATATATTAATTAATATTACATCACATCACTACTAGGTGAACAAATAAACATCCGGAATCCACTGAAAATAGTGAAAACTTTTGAAAATCGTATTATATTTAAAATTGTAATAAAATCTAGTGATTAAAGACATCGTCGTCTTTATAATAATGCTGAAAAGTAATAAAGTCGTCCTAAATCACAAATCGCGCAAATCGCGCAGGGTTCTTGAATTAGACCATGAGCCGGCATGTATTACACAATCTGGTTACGGTTCGCAACAAAAAAAATAATGCCGAACCGAGGTTTAAACGACCATTTTAATTTTTTTTACGAAAAACAAACATGAACCTATTCAGTACAGTTTTATCAATCTATATATCAAGTTACAAATCTCGTGTTGTAATAAATTGTAACGTTCATATTGCACATATATTATATTATAGTTTATTTTATTAACTATTTATATTTTTCCGTAAATATTCTTAAAAAAAATCGGGGGCGCTGCACTGGAAGCCACAATAAATTCCATTTTTGGCTAAAAATCCAACATTATGTAGTTGACAAAAGTGGAAGCCTAGCTACCAACCCAACCCAGGGATTAAAATTAATTTTACTAATCTATATAAAAATGCTGAAATTAATTCTTTTTTTTTTATTAAATCAACACCGACTAAACATATGGATTTTCAGAAGGAAAATAAAAAAATTATTTAATTTATATGGACTTTGCAAATTGTGCACTGTTCCCAGGGCTGCCTACTTGCATCTGCAGATCATGGCCGACATGCTTTTTTACATTAATTAATTAATTAATTAATATAATCACGAATTATTATAAATGAAAAGTTTATTTTTAAGTCGTCTATTTTATTTGAGTGTTATTAGGTGTATAAGTAAATGAGCTGAGTCGGCTCCTGAGCTTGGTAAGCTGGTTCGACAAAATCCTTAACTCGAACTCGAATTCGAATTCTTCAAGCTCGAGTTCTTTCTCAGTTGTTCGTGAGCTCACGAGCTGGCTCGCTAGCTTTTTTTTAATTTTAATTTTATTTTTTTGTATATTATTTTAAATAATATATACTAATATAAAAGGTACATATACAAATTTAAAAAAAAAATCAAAGTTCTTTATTATTTATTATTATAATAAAAAATTAAGAATAAAAAATAATAATTTAAATAAATCTGGAAAATTTGAAATTAAAATGATTGACAAGTTTCAATTTATACTCTCGCTTAAAAGTTGTGCAAAATTTGGACTTGATGTGGTCAACAACAATAAGTTAACTCGAATCACACATGCAATAAATATTTAAAAACCGAAATAATCCTTCGATAACATTTTTCAATTGGGAGAAACGAGGCGTTTCCCGGCCCACGTAAAAAGTACAAGTTAGGGCTTCTGGAGTTGGGTTCCGGCGAAAACCACCCAATGCTTAAGTCAGTCCACGTGCGTGTTTTAAAATAATGGAGATAATTAATTGAAATACCTGTAATAATAATTGAACTAATATATCTATGATTAACTATACATAACTATATAAAATAAATCAAATTAAAATAAACAAAATCGTAAGACGAAGACATAACTAAGTCGGTTCCTGTTTAAACATATTAAATGGGAGAGTTGATTAAAAATGTAAGAAACTAATTAGTGTCAGAAGAATTTATAAACTAATTTTAGCAGAGATTAATTGGATTATTCCTCAAAAAAAATTGTTTCATTAATGCTAATTTTTTATTTCAACTTTTGGTTTCCCGAGATTTGCATGCATATTCTCGAACGCGTTTTGCACGCAGAAAACCCTAAAATAGCGTTTCATGATAATTAATCTTGCAACATATTTTGAACTAAGTAGGCTGACAACAATTTTACGTGACGTGATAAATGTCTTTTCAGTTTTAAGAATATAGTTCCGATTTGAGATGTGGTTTTGACCATTTTTAAGTTTGGATTTGGTAAAACTCAAAAGACGTACGTAATTTGTGCTTCTTTAAGTTAATTTTTAATTGAATTTGAATTACCAAGATATCGAATAAGAAAGATATGCATGAATTAATGAACAATGCAATATCTTAGACATTTTGAGTTAATCTAAAATTGAAAATGTAATTTATTAATGCTTATATTCGTCACCCGACATCCAATCTATTTGATTCAAATTGGATTACAATCTGGAAACCTAATTGAATTTACTATATTTTATGTATTTCAAAATTTCGCCAAAAGCGAATCAGAAATTGTCAAAATCAGATTCAAAGTCAAAACAATATTACTTAATTTAAAACAACTGAATTAACAATATTTCCCTATTTCAACATTCCGCCAAAAGTGAATCATCATAAATTTGTCAAAATTAGATTCAAAGTCAAATCAACATTAACGAAATTTTAAATAAAACTGTACTTACTCTTTTTTTTTTGATAAGTAAACTGTACTTACTCAAACTTAAATAAAACTAATTTAACTATTATCAAGCCGACGCCGTTTTGACCATGGTGATCATAAATTAAAAGAGAATAGCAAAATCCTACGTGTCTAAAACCAACCACGTGCGCAGTAATCTTGCTTGATGCCGATTACTACTCGATGAAAGGGTAAAATAGTCATTTCACACTCGACATCCGTTCCTTTGGTCTTTAAATACTCTACGTGGAGAGAGTGGGAGTAGTAGTACTGAGCAGTGAAAATCAGTTTCTTCTTCATTCATTCATAAAAAAATAAATAAAATGGAAGATCAAGAGCAAGACATCGGCTCGGGAAGGAGCCACGGCTCAGAAGCCGAGCCGGCGAGGTCAAGGTGGACGCCGAAGCCGGAGCAAATAGAGATACTCGAGTCACTCTTCAATGGCGGAACGGTCAACCCACACAGAGACGAGACCGTCAGAATTCGTAAGATGCTCCAGAAATTCGGCCCCGTCGGCGACGCCAACGTATTCTACTGGTTCCAGAACCGCCGCTCCAGGTCCCGCCGCCGCCAGCGCCAGTTACAGGCCACCCTCACCGCCGCCGCCGCGGACCAGCAGCCCCAAGCTGGCGGCGGCGGCGTGGGTCATCATCAGTATCATGAAAACACAATCAGTAGTACTACAACAAGTGGCTTCTCGGGCTCTTCTTCGTCTTTCGGGCTTGGCGGAACAGATTATCTTGGCCCGAACGACACTTCCAATTTGCATTACCAATCTGAAGGTAACTACTAATTAATTAAAAGTTAATTAAGTTAATTAATTATGTTTAATTATCTTGGCCACAACACATTTATGTCTGGCTTCCTTAAAGCCGCAAACCTTATATTAAAATAACAATAAACTAATACCGACACTCTTTTTTAAACGTCGCCGTCATCATATATATATTATATATATATATATATTCAATTTTTTAATATCCAATATAAAAAATTAATTTCTATTTTCTAATAATTAATATATAATTTATTTAAAAAATTACACTATACCCTTGATGTATGCTAAAATAACTTTAAGGTCCTTATAGTATCGGTAATTACAAACATTGTTAGAAATTCTAACAGAATAATGCATTGGATAAGTTATTCCGTTAGGATTCTAACCAGGGGTTTTTCTCTCGGGGGGCTAGAATATGGAGTGATTTAAGAAAATATTTTTTGTTTTGTTTTTATGGACTAAAGTGTATAGGGGTGTGTTTGTAAATACTAATACTACAGGGACCTGAATGTTATTTTAGCATATATCAAGAATGTAGGTGTAATTTATCCATTTATTTATGTTTAATTAATTTAATATACAGGGTTAATTACGGTGTTCATAAATGGAGTAGCTACAGAGGTGACGAAGGGGCCGTTGAACGTTAAGGCCATGTTTGGCGGAGATTATTTGTTGTTCCATTGTTCAGGAATGCCAGTTGATGAAGTTTATGACCATGGATTTCTTGTTCAGCATGGTGAAAGCTATTTTCTGGTACTTAATTATTATTTTAGAAAAAAAAAATACGTACGTATCGAATATATTAAAATTCATTTTTTTTTTTTTGTTGTATACGAAAATTGTTTTAAATGATGTATATTTCAGATTGTTATGTATAACGATTAATTTAACGATTGCGAATAATTCGAATTTTGAAGCCGTAGAACTTGAAATTAGCGAAGTTATCGTTAGTACATTATTACTAATTCGAAGAATTTTACAATGGTTTCAGCTTTTATCGTATAATTATTTCCTAATTGAAGAAATTATTGCTAATTTTAATTAATTTATTATTTTTCTAAGATTTAATATTTTCATGTGTTGTGAATATTTTCAGGTTCCAAGGCATTCCTGATATGAGAGCAACTGGATTTTGGGAGCTTCATCCTTCTTTAGAATTTGTAAAATTAAATAAAAAATTAAAAATAATAATTTGTTTTAATAATAACTATTAGCAAATTAAATAATAAATTTATATGTCCCTTTCACTATTATTACGAATTTGTTTTATTTGTCCTCTCTTGCTTTGTGGAAAATAATATTTTGGCTCTGTAATCAAGTGTTGGATGTATTGTGCCCATTGAGTAAATGAATTTATATTTGATTTATTTGCCAATAAATTGTTAGAATTTTATTAACATTAATCAATCTATTAAATTTATCAACCTTTAACTCTTTAATTGAAGAGCTTTATGTTAACAATAAAATGAGGTTAATGGACAATTTATTATAAAAAAAATTACAGTAATTACATTTGAGGTTTTAAGGCATGATCATGACTTTACTTGTTCTTCTCCGATAATAATTTGAGCTCGATATTCCTACACATAATTACATAAACTCACGTGTATGTATATTTAATTAGTGGATGATTATTTACATCTGCGGTTGAAATTCACCCATTAGAAATAACAAAGTGCAGCATCTCATTTCCCATAATTTGGTCTCTTGTACTTTCGAATAATAGTTGAGATTCGATAAATATTGGCAAAGGGGTATTTTGGTCAATTGGATATTTTTATGATTTTTCAATTGATCGACGAGGTGACATGTACGATTGGTTAGTTATATGATATTATTATTGATTTTCGCTTTAGTAATTTCAAATTGGCAATTGATTAGCTGGTAATACTTTGTCGTTGAGCCGGGACCAGAAAAATATATTATTAAACGGAAAAATTAATTTATTGATTTTCTATTTTATACGAGAAAAGAAAATAAAAATTGTCACTGAATTCAATGGAAAGATTCTCAATGCCTTGGCTTGATCCGCCGACATTTATATAATCAAATCTTTGTGCAGCTATTTGAATTTACGACCTTATAATCATAGAAAAAATTGATTGAAACATCCATTTAATTGAGAAAAATAAGAAGATTTAATTGTCACATGTGACATCATGCAATATAATGGAGATTAGGTAATTAAATATTGCATGTGATTACTTAATCACAAACCTATATGTATATGCATTTAGTGGATGATTTTTAATCAAATTTATGATTCAAATCCACCAAATATAAATAATCAGTTGTGGTATCTAATTACCCCGATTGGAATGATGTATATAATACATTTGGTTTTATTTTAAGATTCGCGATTCTTTCAAGATTGTTCCAAGTAAAATTACTAGATTTTTTCAAGAAAGTAATTTATTTTACTACAACTTTTTTCGATAGCGAAAAAATGTGTATTTTTAGTGTAAATGACGGTCACCCCTGAGATAATATTAAATTACAAAAAGCCCCTTTATATTTGAGTAATTACAACTTTACCTCAAATGAGGCTGTAATATACCCACATTTTTATTAGTTTATTCGAAAAACAAACCAAATGGGCTCTATCTTATAATACAAGGCAAAACAAAAAGCAATATTATTTTAAAAGGGGGCTTTATAATTAATTATTTAATTGTCACGCAAGTTCATTAGCAAGCAAGTTGTGTGGTTTGCGAGCTAACACACACACTTTTATTTGATTAAAAAATAATAAAAACATAAGTAAGTGGTAATTAATTAGTATATGCTAGTGTTATAATCCTAAGTTTGAGGAGTCTTTAATTAGTTAACTAATTAGAAAGTGCACTAATTTTCTTTTGTTGATTGATGAAAATGAAAGAAATGGAACGATGCATGAACAATTAGATGTGGACTTATATATAATAAAATAAATCAATTTGGATAAGTGCGACATGACATTAATTGCTAAAGTTGGATATGACATTAATTATTAAAAGTTGCATATATATATGAGATTGATTGCCGGTTGATTAAATTAATCATTCTATTGCCCCAAAAGTTCTTCTTTTATTTTTATTTTTTATGTTATTTTATTGACCATGAGTATATAGTAAACTATTACATTCTTGTCGGATGCACATATCGGACAAATGGGTGTGGTTTTTTAATTTTGGAAAGTATTATGCATCTTAATAAATGTGCTTTATTTTAGAAAAAAACACATTATAGAAAAGGGTTTAAGTAATAAGTAACATTTCTTGTTTAATGATGTGATAAAAGAAAATTACTGATACTTAGAGTTGAATTAATGATTAACTAATCAAAGTATAGTTGTGATGGAAGATCAATCCACGTGGAAGGAGAGGAAGGAGCTGATTAAAGTCAACTGAATGCCCTCGGATGTAGTGGATAACTTACTCTCCTAATTAACTAACGTTGTGATGAGGTGGCAGTTGTTTGATTGGAACCGGAGGGATCAAGAAGGTTAGAGGGGCCGGGGAAGTTTCTCGAAGGATCCATTTCGATATATAAGAAATAACGAGCTGCTGAAGTTAGTTAAGAAACACACACACTTGCACCATAAACGCGCCATAGATTAGAAGAGAGAGAAAATAGAAGAGAATAGTTTAAAACTGTGGGAAGAAATCCGAGAATTCACAGATTTCTTCCGCTCTTGTAATCTTGCAATCTTTGTAACTATGTGGTGTATATAAATCAATAAAGTGTTGTTCTCTCCGGTGGATATAGATCATTCAAAGTTGAACCACATAAATTATTTTCGTGTTATTCTTCGGTACATGCAATTGTCCAGAATTAGGGTTTTGGTTAGTGTTTGTTCTATTGCTCACTGATCGATTTGACTTGTTATCTGTAACCTTCGATTAGCACCGGGTAAATTGTACAACATATTAGTTACATAATTTTCGATTATACTCTTATTAATCCTCTTCAACAGTATTCTCTTATTAATTAGTAGACAAGGGCATTTTCGTATAAAATCGAGCTAAGTTAAAAAAGATCTTAGTTCTTATGTAAAGCTAAAAAACGACAATTATCGAGAATTATCGGAAGAACTACTTAGTCATGGTACATTAATAATTAATAATGGGTCGGGCAGAAACCCATTTATAACTGGATCTTAGAAGAAGAAGTATTTGTCAGCAAAAGTTGTTATAAAAAAAAGCCCACAAACTCTCGGATCGTAAATTTGTTCAGCCCAACAGCTCTACCCCTAAACGGTGCCGTTTTGGTTTTCACCGTGTGAAAACATATAATAAATAGAATTTCTCTAGGAATTAAAATATTGATTTCGCTCTTGGAAAAATTTTAAACAAAAAATAGAATAGAAATAAATGTTCAAAATTTTATAAATAAAACAGATCGTAATCGACGAATTTCACGTTTTTTGTATTCACATTAATATTATTATAAATAAAATTTCGGGAAACGAGGAAGTTATTGTAATATTAATAAAATTAAAATCGGATATATGTTCAGATTTCGATCCAAAATCTTCTGGAAAAATTAGAAATCATAATTTTTTCAATTATATTTAAAACTATTATTCCAAAAATTGAAATTTATGAATCCAAATCGCCAGAAAAAAAAAATGGGTGCAATTCAAAAGGAATTATAAAATTCCCAATCTAATATAACGGTTGTACTTTGTGGTGATTTAATATATTAACAATTGAGTCATAATTGAAATATAATAATACATGTACAAAGATGTGGTGCATTATTATTATTATTATGGGAAACGAAAAGTACAATACAAAAACTGAAATAAAGGATCCTATGTTACACCTTTGTATATTGGCATTTCATTAATTTGTATTAGTCTCTATAATTAATTGCCAATATCTAGTGATGCACAAATTGCAATTTGCATAACAATGAAAATTGTCCAGTAAGGTAAGTGAAGACTTAGCAGTTGGAACAAACGACCGTGTTTTAATTGACTAAAGTTCGAATTTTCTTAATAACTGTCATTAGATGATTAGCTTAGTATAATTTACGTCTCTCGTGCACCTATATGTTTGGCTGCGGAAAAAAAAATTCATTCACAATTCCGAAAATTTTGGTTTATGACTTTCTTATAGAGTTTCGATTTTCAATCCTACTATAATTTCCTAAAACAACAATTGTCTTCCGAAAACTACACTTATAATATCAATGTCATTTTTATATGTGTATATAGAGTATGAAATTCCAAACTTTTTTCGATTTCAATCCGAAAACTTCTAATTACAATTCGATCGGTCCGTCCGATTTACACCATACTACAGTTAATGGCTCAGGTGGTTACCCAAATCACCCCCCTACCATACCCCCACCCCCAGGCAGATAGGACAAAATTAAGAAACAAACCACCCCAAAAAAATGCAAAAAAGGCATATATTCGAGTACAAAGGGTCAACAAAGTATACCAAACGCCCTATGCCCAGACCTTCAAAAGTCATCAAATATGCCCAGATTCTCTTTGATTACTCACTCTCTAGTCTCACTTTTCAAATTACTATTTTCTTTTTTATTTTTTATATATTTTTTTTTTATTATTTAAAAAAACAAATAAAGACCTTTGCTTTGCCTGATTATCTGCTCAACCTTTGACAGGAAAAATAAAGCAAATAAATAAACAAGAAAATGTGTAATAATAATTATTATTTTTTTTTCCATTTATGGGATTCATTCACTATACATGCAGCCTGCAGAAACTAAAAAAAAAAAGAAGAAAATTTTGAATTATTACAGAGAATGCAATAATTGCTGAGACTGGTGATAATAATTTTAATTATGAATTAGTAGTACATATACCCAATAATTAATTAAGTGGCTCCAACTCCAAGAAAATCAATGAATGCAATTCTTGATTTCTCATTTTCCCCACAAATGTACACATTGGCCCTATTGTTGTTGGCTACTGATTCTGATGCTGCTGAACCTTCTGAGTTTGATTCCACGTTTTCACCTTCAAATTAATAAAAAAAAATTATAAAAAAATTAAAAAAATCAAGAATCTTGATAAATTTATATATAAATTCAAAAAAAAAAAAAAAAAAAAAAAAGTAGTAGTATTAGTACCAATTTGATGAACAGGGCTAAATCTGCTGATGAGAAAATGAGGGGTTTCAGTTTCCGGTCTGAAAGAAGAAGGGGTGAGTGAGAGATCGGTACACGTGGAGCCACCGGATTCGTCGAGATTAACGTTGTTGTTGGTTTTTGTTTCGGATGTGAAATTACTGTTTTGGACATTGGCCGAGAAAGTGGGTTTTCTTCTTCTGTAAAAAGAGTTGGTTTCTCTGTGTTTTCTCGCCATAATCACATGCCAATGGTTCTTCACGGAATTATCGGTCCTGCCCGGAAAAAGACGGGCAATCATTGCCCACTTGTTTCCGTACATTTTGTGCGCCGACAACAGCCTCTCTTCTTCTTCCTCGCTGAACGCCCTTTTGTTTATTCTCGGATCCAACTGGTTGAACCATCTCAACCTGCAACTCTTCCCTACAATTATTTAAATAAATAAATAAATAAGAGTTATTACATGATAAAAACATTGTAATAAAAGATTAATTTTTTTTTTAATTAATTTGTGACCTGATCTGCCATGGAGTTTCTCGGCGATGAGATTCCAGTTCTGTGGGCCGAACTGGGCGACTAGGGTTTTGAGTTTAGCGTCTTCGTTTGGTCTCCAATGCCCTCTTGCGCATAGCTTTGTTGTTTGTCCGCCGCCGCCGCCGCCGGCGGCGGTGGCGGTGGTGGTGTCTCCTTCATGGGCGGCGAAGCGGAAACGGAGTTGCGGCGGCGCCGCACGTGTTGGTGGGTTTTGCTGCTGCAGGTTCATATTGTTTTTGTTTGCTGTAACTGATGATCAACAATGGAGGAGAGAGAGAGAGGGGTAGAGAGAGAGAGAGATGGAGGAGTGAGAAAACTCAGGCAAATAAAAACTCCGTTTTGTCTCTTACAAAATATAAATCTTCTTCAGTGTGAGAGATTGGTAAATAACTAACGTACATAATAAGTCTGTTCAGCCTCAGACTCGCACTAGAAACAAAAAACCAAAAGAAAAATAAAAGAAAATCAATTCTCTCTCTCCTCTCTTTCTCTCTCTATATGTGTATATTTATATATATGTGTGTGGCAGTGTGGGTGGTGCGTGTGTGTGTGTGTGCATGGAAATCGAGAACCGCTCGTGTGGGTGGTGGTGGTGGGAAACCCCATTCAACACTGTTGGACTCGGGGTTTGTGTAACTGCTTTTTTTCTTTTATTATTTTTATTTTTTTTAATTATTATTATTATTTTAATTTCATATATCTCGATTTTAGAGAGAAAAAACAGAATCTGTTTGTCTCTTTTCTGATTTCTCAAAAAAAGATTTATTTTTTAATATTTTTGTTTATTTTTTGAAACGAGAAACAAAATTCAAAACATACGAGTACATAGTACTAGTAGTGACTATAACTCCATTATTTTGATTTAATAGGTAAAAATTCATTTGCATAGTTATGTACGATTTATACAATGATTTTTACTGTATATGGATGCTACATTCAATGAAAAACATTGAATCATTTTGTATCATAGATTTTTTTTTAATTTCTCCCAAAGTTATCGGTTCGAATTTGCAACGAAATTTTTGAAAATCAACAACGGGTTTCAAACGCAGGAATGCATATACCTAAATTTAATTATATGTACACGTCTCACCAAAATGTTCTTTGAATATATACTATAAAGGAAATGTGTATACGGTAAATTACGGTCACCCTCGTTAAATTATGAAAAGACCTTTCTTGTTTGGGTAATTACAACTATCTCTCAACTATAAAA